GTGTGTGTGTGTGTGTGTGTGTGTGTGTGTGTGTGTGTGAGAAGGGGGGAGGAGCTGTAATCAGCACATCTGTGTCACACACATGGGTGCCAAGGAGGGGCGGGGGTGCAAAAATCAATATAGAGGCTCAGTTACTTCAGCAGACATCTGCTGTTGTGCCTCCTTGGTTTCTCTCTCCTGCTGAAGCGAACAGCAGCATGTAGGACCATGTCTGCACTCAGCGGAGCACGAGCTCAGCGCCGACGTCCAGAATCCTAAGAGCGCGTGACTGATGCTGTTACTCTGCATGTTCTAGCCATGAGTTAGCGATCTCGCTTTATGATCCACGCCCCGTCTTGGTGTAACAACAACCCCGGAGCAAAACAGACGAAGGAGGTCTTCCTAGGACGCGTGTCAACTGCGAGCTCAGAGCATGGGAGTGGATGGAGTGCTGTTAGCGGGACAGAAAGGTCACGGTTTACTTTTTAAATAGGTGGCATTCATTTTATTTAGCAAAAACACTGTGGAAGTGATGTACAATTGAGGAAGCAGGTCATCCAGTCCCTTAAGTGACTGGGGGTTAAGGGCCTCAATCAGGGGGCCTAACAGTGACATCACTCTGCCAAGCCTGGGATCTGAACCAGCAACATTTTGATTACAGACACAGGGTCTTAACCCACTGAGCCACAGAAAATAGAGCATCACGCTCACAGACACATGCAAACATTTTGTAAATACATCTAAGAGCTGAAGATTCTGGAGCTGCAGATCATCAACTTGCCATTTTGGTCAGCATTGGTGAATTTTCCCATAATTCCCAGTTTACAACTTGTCAAGTACAGAATTACAGAGCACTGGAAACCAGCATGACCAGGGAGAGCTGGCTGTAGTCAGGTTTCGGTCTTTAGCTCACGCCGCGCCGCCTGAGTGAGGCCATTGGACACGGAGGAAGCTCAGCTCACATCATTGCCAAATCACACACTGATAATCACACACCGATAATCACACACCGATAATCACACACCGATAATCACACACTTTAAATGAGCCCCATGCACACAGTCTAATAAGACCCATATTATCTCAGATTTACCAGCTACTCCCCGGATGGCAAATGAAATCCTGGGGGTGGACGACGGCCCGCATGTGTGACAAAGGCGTTGGGTGGGATTTGCAAACACCTGGCCGATTTGAAGTCTCCAAACGTGCCCTGACAATGTAAATTTGGGCAGAAACCACATTTCATCTGGAAGTAGCCCCCCCCCGCCCCGGGAACTGCTGCCCGGCGTCTCTTACTGTTACTGGACTTGAGGTCGCGGTGGATGATTGGGACGACAGCTTCCTCATGCAGGTACTGCATGCCAGTGGCGATCTGCACTGCCCAGCTGACGAGGACGTGCGGGGGCACCCTCCTCCCGGTGAGCGCCCGGTTCAGGGTGCCCCCCCTGGCGTACTGCATGACCAGGCAGAGATTGGGCTCCTCCAAGCAGACGCCTTCCAGCTTTATGATGTTCGGGTGTAGCAGCATAGAGAACAGCTTCGCCTCCTGCTTGACGCTGTCCGCCGTGGCAGTGATGTCCTTGTCCGGGTCTTGTCGGGCTGCCTTCACCGCCACCTCCTGACCCTTCCAGGTCCCCCGGTAGACTTTACCAAACCCCCCTACGCCAATGATCTCCTCCAGCACGAGCTCACTGAACAGGATTTGCACTGGGGAGCTGGGGACACTTTCCCGCATCCCTTCAGCGCCGTTGGCAGGACGTCTGTGATACACGGCGGGCTGGTAGGTTACGTAGTTGGAAGGGAATATGCCGACCCGACGATTAATTTTACCAGTCCACCATCCCTCGTCCCCCGATATGGCCACATCCTTAGACAGCACCTCCACCACGTCCCCCCGGCGCAGGCTGAGCTCGTCCTCCCCGCTGGCTTCGTAGTCGAACACGGCGGTCCACAACGAGCGGGGGCACAAGGGAGCCGAGTGAGGCCAAGGCGCGCTGCGGGGGGACTCGCTCCGGCCGTGATCGCCGCCGTTGCTCGGCCGCTCTTCACCGTTTGGGAAACCGGCCCGGGAAACATCCATGTCGCGATGCGTGCCGCCGCACCATAAGGTGCCGATTTCAGGGTTCAAAAGTTACAGCAAAAAAAGAGAGAAAACGAACAGGCCGTTTCGATCACGCCGAAAAACGAAGGTTTAAAACAAGACAAGCATTCGGCTAATAGCAAAAAAAATCTTACACATAGTATTAATTAAATAATACTGAGAGCGGTTACAATCCAGTCACGCCGCTTTGGCTGATACCGTTTCAAGGCATTCCAAAGTCCTGGACCGGGGGCTACTTAGTAACCACGTCGTCCATCTGATACAGCCAGTTTTCACTGGAACAGCCCGAGTAGTAACATTTACAAAGTAGCACTGGAAGACTTAAACTATGATGCAGAAAAACGTTGAGAAAAGCGCGATCGGACGGAGTATCACTATCAAACTTCGCGCACCTAAAAAGACGCATGATCGGCGTACATTCTTTTATACAGCAGTGAAACTGCAGGTGCGAACCTGTATCAAAGTCTGTGCTTCTAATGGTTCCAGGCAAGTAAAGTTTGCATAAAACTTTTTTTTTGCCAATCACTTACCAGACAGCCTATAAAAAGTTTTAAAAGCAATACTACATAAAAGTTTGATCACTGTCCAACCCCTCACCCCTCTCCGTCCCTTACAAGCCCATTGGTTGTAGTGACACTTAAAAAACTTTAAGCTCCAGGTTTCGCTTTAATCAGTTCTCTACATCTCATATTCTCCTCTTAAAGCACATTCACCCCGATCGTGCACACTGCAGCCGCCGAGCGCCGTCACTCTCCGGAGGGGGGAAAAAAGGACACCGGATCTGCCACGATGGTCCCCGAAAAGTTCCTGCGGCGCGACTCAAAACAGTGAGCAGAGCAGCGCCGCCATCGCTCCCGGACGCCTACAACACCCGGGAGCTGTAAAGTGTTACGCGCCGATTGGCGCGCCCGGCGCACGTGACGTGCGCGTTCTCGGAAGAAAACCACGGGAGGGGCAGCGATTGGAAACGGGCTCCGTGAGCCGTGGACGCGTGGAAGGCGGAGTATCGCGCAGACAGACAGCCGCGGTTATCACGCATCATAACACTGTCTGCGTTTCACTAATTTATTCATTATTACATACTTTAAAATTTATGTGATATGCCCAACCCTGAGTATTAGATGCTGATACAATGCACATACAGCCAGGTGTGCGAGGTCGGGTCGTACCTGTTCTCGAATTTCATGAATATAGGCCTATACGTTTTTTTGTTTTTTTTTTTAAATCTGTGTTCACTCGATAATTCTGAAATTATATGCCCTGACTACCACTGTGCAATAGGTCGTGTTCTGGAATGCTTATGTTGGGTCGTGTGCTGAAATGCTTAAAGTATCCTCCGTTCGCAAATTTTAAAGTTGTGTATTTTCAGGACAGCCCTGATAGTATTTCACTACTAAAAGGCACATACCTAATCAGCTCAGGCGTATCAGCCGGTTAAAAGGTACAACGGCGAGGACAGACTTGCAAACACTGCAACCCAGTGGCCAAAAGAATTATTGCCACTAGAATGTACAGTATTTATTCCGTATAAATACTATTATTCAAAATTAGGAATTTATAAGTACATTACCTAACCTATTATTCGTGAAGAGTGTGTGTGTGTGTGTGGGGGAGGGGGGGGTCCGGCAACCCTATCGATAGGTTTCGAGGGTTTGTCATGTGGCTATGTTCCTGATCGGTAGCAAATAAAAGATATTCCATAAATTCAGCAATAACGGGACTGTATTATAATATGGTGACCAGATGAACAACCATCACCATTCTTATATGTTGTTTGTTTGTGTTATACCGTTTCTTTACCGTTAGTTATTGCTCAGTGTTTTTTATTGTTTGATGTTATTTTCTCTTGATGTTCCTATTGTCATTACTGTTGCATGCTCGCCACTTACTGTTATTCTCTCTTAATGTACTACTACAGTAGCTGCCAGTCTGCATGAGGAATGAGAGTATCTCGTTACACTAAGTACACATTACGACAGTCTTCAATTTAAAATAAGTCTCTGGTGATTTTTCTTCGCGGTTCCTACACGGACACGATGTTTTTCTACGCCTTTTTGCTCTTGGTGTAGCCTACAATACCCACGGCACCATAGCATGGTCTGATAGCTGATAGTGAATAGACCCGACTATAATGGGGAACCGCTGTGTCCCGCGTGCCGTAGCCTATACTACGCCTTTACATGCGTTATTCTCTGCACGCAATGCCGGCTCCTCACATACTCTGAACAATATACACCGTACAACTTTACAAAGCGTTTTCAGTATTCGTTCTCTGTTTATAATAAATAATAATAATAATACACAATATATAATATATAAACGTCCCCGTTTATATGCCACAGTTCTGGAAACATAAGATTGCGCCACTTTGGGGAAGATGGTTTCCAGAGACTTTTAGACGAATCAAAGGTTTATTCATGCCTGTATAAAAAAATACGATACGAAATACATTTTTACGTGGGCCTCATTGGGCATTGTAAATTATTAAGGCGTACCTAATAGGCCTTACTGGTAATTGGTTCACCTGTATGAAATGAATAGAGCTACGGTATAAATTATACAGTGGATAAAACGAATGAAACCTGCAATGTAGCCTAGCTGTCTATTCAAAATGGTATTTCCGTGAAAACCCGTTCATCTTCAAGCTTTAACAGCTCGTTTTTAAAATCGAGCGCCGTGAAGGCGGTGCTGCCACAGTCTCAAAGCGGATCATATGTGACCGGAGCTGGTGCGCGGCGCAGGTCCGTCCCTCGCACGTCACGTTACCGACTGCGGACTGGGGGAGCCGCAGGACTGCGTATAGCGGCTGACAATGAACCGAGACGGAGAAATGAAGAGAAAACCGCACAGTCGCTATACAACAAGGGGGGCGACTGATAAATAAGGCACCGTGCCTGCGTGTTCGGATTACACTTCTCTGTTTTCTGCTGTTATTCTCGGCGAGATGGGCTCTCAGGTGGTCCAAACTCTGCGACAGGGAGTATGGGCATCCCTGACGGGCGGGTGGTACCATGACCCGGAGCAGAACAAATTCAATAACTCGTGTCACCTCTATTTGTGGATGTTTCTGCTTGTACTACCGCTGTCGCTGCATCTGGTGAGTACGATCACCGAAAGGACTCACGTTATTCATTTGAATGGCGTCATATTCATTCAAAGGATTCCTCTGTGCATAAGTGGAAGACACCAGCACACAGCCCAAGGGGATCTGCACAGGATGTAATCGTATTTGTTGCACTGGAGTTTATTTTAAATACGTGTGTAATGGTTCAGCGTTCATTTTGAGCGCATCGGCAACTGTCGCATTATTTCACCGCATAGTGAAACGCACGGTAGCCGCACGGCTCGCAGATGGAGCGGTATCACTGAAGCTGGACCTGGTGCGAGCATGAGCTGGGATTTCAGCCGCCCAAAGAAAATGATATTTTGTACCCAACCGTACACTAGAGACGCAGATCACAGAAGAAGCCGTTTTGTGGCAGTTAAAAACACGTACAGAAAATAAGTGCGCGTAAAACGCCGAAGATGCTGGCGTCATCCGCACGATAATCTGACCCTGGTCCCCGCTGGAGGATTCATGCGTGTTACGATCTCTCCTGATTTTATCCTTAAAGGAACAAATGTGTTATATTACGTGACCGTGTTTGACTACAGTTATTCACTCATGGAACCCGCTTGTATTTGCAATTATTTTGCTTTTAGGGTGATAAGGGGGCGCGGCATATTCTTTGTGCGATGCTGTAGTCCGGCTCAGCCCATGAAAATGGGCAGGGCATCTCATCTGACGGAGGGATTACAGAGCGCCGTCAGTCTGTCAGCTTCTCCAGCACGATTACACAATAGCAGACATTCGCACATAAGCTGTACCTGTACGATAATACAATAATATTAACAGAATCGGCTAAACATCATAAACCGGATAGCAATTATGTATTTCAGAATCAGAAAAACTTTATTGATCCCGGAGGAAATTGCTCATGTTACTACTAAGCGGTCACACAGAGACACAAGACAAGAACACAAAAAAAGAATATCAGATATAAGTATAAGAAACTGAAATAAAATTATAAAAGAGAGACTCGGAGCTATATAATTAAGCAGTTTGGTAATTTATGCAACATTTTTTAAAGAAAATGCAAAAAGGAGTCGAGTATCATTTTGAGTTTTTTTTTTACTTTAGTGTCTCATCAATACTTGTTTTATACCATTTCAATCACATCATTACTTTTTAAAACTATTCTGTTGAAGCGCGCAAATACAGACAATAGGTCAAATTCCACAGAGATGGCGAAATATTGGAACTGAAAAGATCTGTTTACTGTAAAAATGACGTTTTGATGAGACGCTTCACATGAAACACAAGAAGTGGGCTTTATAATGGAAGTCTGGCCCAGTGGTGCTGATCAATTCTGGTTAATATTGTGAAAAGGGAAAACAAACCGATATATATTGTAAATACAAAATGAATCAGTCTTACTGTGTCTTCCCGGGAGACAGCATATTTTGACAATTGTCATATATTAATTATTTAATAGAAAAATAGATATAGTGATGTTAAGTGGGAACTGGGATGTCACGGTGCTCAGACTGTATTCCTGTCCCCCCCCCAGGCGCTCCCTCCCACGACACTGGCCCTCAGCATTTACTGTGCCATAGTGACGGTCTTCTTCATCTTCATAAAGATGGTGAATTATCGGCTGCACCTCATGTTTGATAAGGGCGACATGGTGGCCCAGGGCAGCCTTTCGGATGTCAGCAAGGGCGCAGAGAAGAAGATCCGGGCCTCGGACTCCTGTCTCTCACCGAGCCTTAGGTGAGTCACATTTTGGGTCGGGTGGCGCCGTGGCGCCAGGGTTCAAACCTCCGCCTTGGTTCAAGGTGTGTGGAGTTTGATTGTTCTCCTTGTGTTATAGTAGGATTTCCTCTGGTACCAAATTGCATATAGGTGTGAGTGTGCCCTGTGACGGGCTGGCTTCCCATCCTGGGTTCCCCCCCCCACCTTGTGCCTATAGAGTCCGGGCCCCCCATGACCCTGATTAGGACAAGTGGTTACAGAGGATGAATGAGTGGATTTCAGGCTAAACTAGCCAAAGAGATGCTACTACTCGATCTCTGGCCAGAAAGTGGTATCAGATTGTTAATAAACAGGAGAAAATCAGACCATCCCCATGTGCATGAGTGTAACAACCTTACTAAATGATATTCAGGAGATTAGCCAGTATAAGCTGTAAGTAACCTTCTATAATACAACAGTGCCTTTTCCATCTCTGTGTGGTAAATTTCTATGACTTTCTACTGCTCATGAATTTTGTTCATGAATGACCTTGTAAGGGAGGAGCTCTGTACCTAATGAGCGCTCACAGGTGGGCGTGGTCTCTCCCACAGGAAGAGCAGCACTGTGCCCGACAGCGTCGCCATGGCGTTGCTGACCAGGAACCGACCAAGTCCAATCATCCAAGTCACAGTCAAACAGACGGAGACAGACCCAGGATTGATAGGGGTGGTTAGTGTACTCCTTTACAGCATTTCCAAAAGTCAGGGAGGAGCTGCTTTTCTGTTGTTAACATGCCTTTTGTTCCCCTTGTGATGATGCTGATGTTTACATAATCATGGGCAGTGGTGGCTTGTTGGTTAGGGAAGCGCACTTGTAATTGAAAGATTGCAGGTTCGAATCCCCGACCAGCAAGACACCACTGAGGTACCCTGAGCAAGGTACCGTCCCCAAGCACTGCTCGCCGGGCGCTGAATTAGCTACCCCTGCTATGTCATGATGTCACATATGGGTTAAATGCAGAGGACACATTTCATTGTTGTGTGCTGTGTCAACACTGATCACCTAATTCTAATCATTTTCTTTATATGCTGAATGTATTTCTTTAAATGCTAACGTCTGTTTTTGCAATCTCCTAACTTCAGTGATATCACGAGGAATTAGCCTGTTCCTTTATCTGTTCGTGATGTGGCCCTGTTTCTCAGACATGGCTGGAAATTTGAGTGTCTGCGGCCATATTGATTCTGGGAGCATTGTGCTCACATCATCTCTGTCCTGTTACAGGAGGTCCCAAGGTCTGAAGTCACAAAGAG